GTTTTTGACACATAGGAGAAATCGCTTGTTAGCAATTACACCGATTACACACGGAGTGTGCACTCAGATTGCTTTCAGCTTTCTGGGTCCGCGAACCTAGTAACGAGGAAGTGCCGTTTCGTCTTCTAACCGCCATCTGTTACGCCTGGAATGGTCACAAGAAGCCAGAACGGGACGTTTCGTCTTCTCGCTTTCCCCAACGACATCGGCCGCGCGTTCAACGAGCGGATGCAAGAAGCTTTTGGGGGAGCGCGCGCGAGCGCAGAGCCAGCAGCGGAACCGAGCGGTCAGGCTTGTTGCGCGAACCCCTCACCCAGAGGTGAAGCGAAACAGCTCCATTCACGTGGCTCCACCGCACATGATCGGGTTAGCGGTAGCGGTGCTTGGTGTAGCAGGCACGATGCAGTTGTACTCCTCGGGCGCTGGCGCTCAATTCAAGTTGCGCGCAACGACTCGAGGCTCTGCTGGTTCCAGCAGGAGATGGCTAACCGCCGCGCAGCTCTGTAGGAGGATACCTCCGAATGCGAGCACACGCACCTGAGAGCAGCAACTAACCACCCGTCACGCGCATCCACCCACACTACTACGAGGTGCAGCATCGCCCGCACGTTTTTAGAAGCGTTCAGACCTGCTCAGACCCTTGAGAGCTTGTGAGCTGCCGCTATTTGTAACCTGCGCGCATCACCCGCATGGCTCCGCTCACCCGCGCCACCGCGCTGCCTGCACAGCGACCCGCCGCATCACATACGGACAATTCCGCCGCCAACCTCGAGGCGGAGCCCAGCGCCATGCGCACTGTCCCCCGATTCCTTCGGCTCGCAGCCGTCTCCGCGCGCCCCTCCGCCTCCACGCCCGCAGGGGGCCCGTTGCGGCTGGTGCTGCCCGCGGGAATTGGACGAGCACCGGGCGCCAGCCGGGCACAGAAGCAGGAGGGGGAGCGGCAAGCGGAGCAACCGCGCGAGGAGGCAATCAGGGGAGCATCCCCCGCCAGCAGCGCGCGCCCGCTGCTCTCCGCCAATCTGGGGGCGCATGGCGCGGCTTCCAGGGGAACCAAGGCGCGGGCAAGGGCGGCGGATGTGGATACGGGGGCAGAGAATGCGCGGGGTCGTGGGGGAGCCGGCAAGGAAGGGGAGGCGGACAGCCGTGACGGTAGCGGCGGTGGCGAGGGGGCGATGGAGGGGCGGATGGAGGGGGCGGAGAGGAGGGGGAAGGTGGCAGAGGAGAGGGGAGGCGGCAGCAGTAGCGAGGCGAGCGGAGGGCTGATAGGGGAGCAGGATCGGGGGAGCAGGGGGGCGAGGATGGGGAGGAGGACGGGGAGAAGGAGCAGAGGAGGCGGAGTGGCGGAGGGCGGGGGGGAGCAGCGGCGGTGAACAGGGGGGCGTGGACGGCGGAGGAGGACGAGCGGCTGGCGGCGCTGGTGGCGGTGCACGGGGCGAAGAACTGGAGCGCCATCGCTGCTGGCATCCCTGGCCGGCCTGGGAAGAGCTGTAGACTCAGGTGCGTGCGGTGTAGTGCAGGTGAGGTGCGGTGGGACGCGCTGGGATGAGCGGAAAGAAGGAGGCGGTCTTGTGTTGATTTGTTTCACCTTTGTCACAGTCTGGTTGCTCTTTACTTTTCCGTGTTTGTGCGCTTCTTTCTCTTTGTTTCTGAGCCCATGCTGCATGTGGCATGCACATCCTGCTCCATCTATCCATCCCTCCCTCCCCTGTCCCCCACACCAGGTGATGCAACCAGCTGGACCCGGCGTTAAGGCGAGGCCAGTTCACGGTGGAGGAGGATGCGCGCATCATCACAGCACATGTCCCTCCCTCCTTCTCCCTCCCTCCTTCTCCCTCCTTCCTTCTCCCTCCTTCCTTCTCCCTCCCTCCTTCTCCCTCCCTCCTTCTCCCTCCTCCTTCTCCCTCCCTCCTTCTCCCTCCCTCCTTCTCCCTCCCATGTCCCCCCCTTGGCAGGTGGTGCAACCAGCTGGACCCGGCATTGAGGAGGGGCCAGTTCACAGTGGAGGAGGATGCGCGCATCATCACAGCACATGCCATCCACGGCAACAAGTGGGCCCTCATCGCCAAGAACCTTCCCGGACGGTGCGTGCCTCCTGCCCTAACACCGTTTACTCTGCCACCCGCTGTCTATTCCGCTTCTCTCTCCTCATCTCTCCACAACTCCACATGCATCCCCTCCCTTCCCCCACACAACAACCTCTGATATACTCCTCCTTACTCACACCTATGGAACCCTCTCTTCCCCCGCTTCCCCCTCACGCTCTCCCCCCCCCCACAGCACGGACAACGCCATAAAGAACTATTGGAACTCCGCCATGCGCCGCAAGTACCCTCTCCTGCGCGGCCTCCTCTCCGCGCCCGCTCCTGGGCCCCCACAACACTCCGCCTTCCCCCTCCCACCCTTCCCCGGGGCGCCTGATGGGCAGCAGCAGGGCGAGGGGGAGAGCGCGTACGAGCGCGCAGTGCGGTTTGTGGGGGCCGTTGCAGGCGAGAGGCGTGGCGGCGCTGGTGGAGGAGGTGGAGCGCGTGCGGGAGGAGGAGGGCGTGGGGCGCATCCGCAAGATCCTGGAAGGTTCGCCCCTGGGGATGCGGCGCTGGCTGCAGGCTGTGGAGAGGGAGTGGCGCGAGAGAGAGGCGCGCGGGCGAGGGGTGGAGTGCATGGGTGGAGGCGAAGGGGAGGACGTGGGAGGGGAAGGAGAGGACGGGGGGGTGAGGGATGGGCAAGTTGATGAGGAGGAGGGGAGGCCGATTGAAGGGGAGGTGCGGGTAAGCGAGGGAGACGATGAGGGCGGAAGGAATAGGCGAGGGAGAGGAGAATGAGGATTGGGGGGATGGGGAACAGATGGCGCAGGGAGCAGGGGAGCGGGAGCAGGCGGGCGGGGTAGGAGGGGTGGTGATGGGGGGAAAGGGCAGCGAAAACAATGGAGGGCTGGGAGCCAATGATCAGGTGGTGGAGGAGGAGAGGGAGGGGACGGAAAGGGGCAGGGCGGAGGAGAGAGTTGAGGAGGGGCGAGTGGTGGCAAGAGGAGAAGCGGCGATGGGAGAGGCGGGGAACGAGAGTGGGGCTGGGCGTGGAGCAGACAAGAACCAGTGCAGGCGAGGGTGGCCGTAGGGAGGCAAGGGGGCGGTTGCCTGCTGGTGGGGGCTGGGTGGACGGGCGGGCGATGAGGGGGCACAGGGAGTGGGGACTGGTGAGGGCGAGCGGTGTTGTCGTGGCGCCATGAAAGGGAGGCAGTGCAGCAGGCAGGACATGGTGGGGCGAGGGCAGGGGTTGCACCAGGGGAGTGCAGGGCGAGTGAGGCGAGAGAGGGGGGAAGAGGAGTGAAGCAGGAATTGGATGAGGGGGTGAATGACGTGGAAGTGGTGGGAGGAATGGAAGAGGAGGGTGAGTGGTGTGCGCCTGAGCCACACACCTCCACAGCATGTGCTCTCCCTCCGCCCCTGCCACACTGTGACGTGCTGCCTGTTGCCAGCCACACCAGTGCCAGCATCAGCCATGCGACGAGCGGGGGTGGTGGCAGTGACAGCAGGCATGCTAGGGGACCATACCTGTGGAGGCGTCTGTTAGGGGTGACCCCGTGCCATGCAGTGCAGCGGGGCCCAGCAGCAGGAAGAGGCAGTACGAGGCCTGCCGTGATGATGGGGGTGATTATGGTGGTGGTGGTGCTGATGCTGATGCTGATGCTGATGCTGCTGCTGATGCTGCCTGCTGCTGCTGCTGCTGCTGGAAGTGCTGGAAGTGGTGGAAGTGGTTGGAAGTGGTGGAAGTGGTGGAAGTGGTGGAAGTGGTGTGGGAACATGAGCCAGCTCGGTACCCTCGCCTGCCACGTTGATCGCCGCCTTCGCTTCCGAGCCTCACCCACTGCTGTGCCTGCACCTGCTGCTGCTTTGGCACCACTGCTGCCGCCTTCCACCCTTCCCACCACCCCTACTGTTGCCACCTCCCCCCTCCCTCCCTCACACACCTCCCAAGGCACCACCCAGCAGCCACACACACCGTCACCATCACCATCCTCCCCACCACTCACTCCCTCTTGCCCTCCCTCCCTCACTCACCCCCACCACCACCGCTCTCTCGCCCCTCCGCATCTCTCCTCACGCTTTTCATTCGCCATTCTCCTGCCGGGCCTCTCCCACTCCTCTCTCCTCCCTGCTACCCACACTCCCTCCCTTCTCCAGCCCTCTCAACCACACAGTCCGCCAATGCCCCTTACTTCCCAGGTAGGGGCAGGCCGGGTAGCTGAGAAATATGGTGGCGGTGGCACGAGGGGCGTTGGTGGAGGGGGTGGGAGCATGAGGGGAGTGGGTATGGGGGCGTTTCAGCTGGGGAAGGCGTTTACTGCAGTGCAGGTGACAGGGGGCGATGAGAGGATCCGCAGGCACAGGGGATGTGAGGGCGAGGAGGGGCGTGGGGGTGATGAGGGGTGTGAGATGGCCGTGAGAGTAGGGGAGAGGCGAGGACAAGAGCGGGAAAAGGAAGGGGGTTGCGGAGGGGATGGAATGGAGGTGACGGGGGTCATGGAGGAGGAAAGCAGAGAGCAGCAGGGGATGGAAATCTGTGGGTCAGAGCAAGAGAATGCCCTGTGCTCACACGGAGGACATAAGACCAACTCACAGCCCTTGCAGCACACGCTGCACCCAGACACATGCCTTGCTGCAGTCCCAGAGCCAATGCAAGACTGCCACGTGGCAGGGCAGGGGCGATGTGGGTCTCGTGTGCGGCGGCACGTGCATCGAGTAGCGGCGTCGGCATGTGGGGGTGGCGCATCTGCTGCTGGAGGAGCTGCAGCGGCGGCACGGAGTGGAAACACGGGCAGATAAGGAAGCGGTGGAGGAGCGGCGAGGGGAGTCAGGGAACGTGAACGGGGAGTTTGGTGAGAGGTCACAGGCGGGAGAGCTGGTGGGGGATGCAGGATGTTGCAGGGGTGAGCGGTGCTGCTCGGTGAGCAGTGGTGGTGAGGGTGCAGCAGAGGGCATGGCGTGCCGGCATCTGCTAGATGCCATGCTGACTGTGTGCCTAAGACTTGCTGCTTCAAGTGGGAATAAGAATAGGGAGTGCAGAAACTGTCTTGCTGATGCAAATGTTCATGCTCAGTTTTAGAGGGTCCGATTGATCTATCTATTATAGGAAAAATGTACAGCCAGTTGCAAACAATATTTGGAAAGTTTTAAAGAAGATTCCCGGCACCATTCTATCTTCTGTAAACATACCTTGTCATCTTATACTGCGTACAGTGTAACAGCAATAGTCTGGATGTAGAGCATGCGTTGACCCGTTCATTGTCAAGAGCCTCTATGGGAGTTCCTAAAGAACACGCTTTGTGCCGTTAGTGGCCATCCCACCATCCTCAGTTTAGTTTACGCGCGCTATTCCCGCCACTCCTCCAAGACACAATCGAGCCCCACCGTTCTCCGAGTCAGCTTATAACGCCGTTAAATTTTGTGCTCTCCCGTCTCTCCTTGCGCGGCCGCGCAAGATGCCTTCGTAGCTGGGCCCTAGACCGCGCAATTGTCGCCGCAATCGCCGCCGCGAGTCCCCCTGCTGGGTGCGCCGCGTCATGGCGAGGGGCGAGGCGCGGAGAGGTCCCGCCCGGGCCTCGGGGAAACGACCGCACGCCGCCTCGTCGCGAGCAGCATCGTCGCATAGCACGTCGCACGGCGCGTCGTCAGCGTCGCCACGATCGCCGTCACCACAATGGCACAGTAGGGGCCCCGCAAACGGCTTCCCCCCATGGGCGCGGCGTGAGAGCGCGGGGAGCGCGTTCGCGGAGCGAGCGGGCCGATACTGCGCGGTCGCGTGGCGCGTGGCGGGGGCGGCAGCGCGGTTGGCGGCGGCGGCGGGCTTGTGGGCGGCGGTTGCGGCGGCGGCGTTCGTGATCCGCGGGTGCGCGTCGCTGGTGCCGCCGTCGCTGGGGTCGGCGGTGCTGCCGCTGGTGGGCGCGCTGGTGGGCATGGGTCGCACCCTCGGCTGGCTCGTGCTCCTGCCCTCCCTCGTACGCTCCCCCCCCGCCCGCCCCCTCGCCCGCCCCCTCGCCCGCCCCCTCGCCCGCCCCCTCGCCCGCCCCCTCTCCCACCCCCTTCCATCCACCCCATGCCTCACACATCCCCTCCTTGTGCGTGCAACCCCCCTGCCACTCTAATCGCGGCCATCCCCACGTGACTCTTCCCTTCCCTTGACGCCTCCCACACCACCTGCTTTGTACCCACTTCTGCCCTCTCTTCCCCCACCCAACCCTCCGCACACGCCCGCCTCCCATCCGCTGCGGCGAGCAGGTGGTGCTGGTGCTGCTGTCGTTCTTCCTGCCGCTGCTGCTCACACTCGCGCTGCTGGTGCTGCTGGCGCTCTTCACAGCGCTGCGCGCCAAGCTGCTGCTCTTCGCCCTCGCCACCGCCCTCACAGCAGGTCAGCCCCGCCCCATTCAAAGCAGGGAGGATTGTTCAAACACTAACTGTTCCCCTTTCTTGCCCACACACACGGACAGGCTCGCCTCCCCTTGCTCCCCTTCTCGTGCTCACCTGCTCCTCCAACTCCCCAACGCCAACCCCTCCCACCTGTGCTCTCTTCCCCCTGTTCTCCCGCGTGCTCCCGCACCCACCCCCCTGCATCCACCAGGGATAGTGGCAGCGAGCGGGTCTCCTCGAGCAGCACTGCTGCTGCTGGTGGCATCGACGGTGTACCATGTGGTGGTGCGCGCGGGGCTCACCACGCTGTGCCTCACGCTGCTCGCCTCCTTCCTCGCCGCCGACCTGCTGCTCCTCCTCGCCTCCTCCCTCCACGACGACCCCGCCCAACCCGACTCAACCCCTCCGAACCAGTCCCAAGCAAGCGCGGCTGGGGGGGAGAAGTCAGGAGGGGTGGGGGGAGCGGCAGGGGAGGGGGAAGCGGGGTTGGCAGGGGGAGAGGGGGGCAGGGGAGAGGCGAGTGGGGGCGGGGAGATAGAGCGCATAGTGCGGTGCGGCAACCACTACGAGGTGCTTCGCCTGGCGCCCTTCTGTGCGGCTGTGGATGAGGGCGCCCTCAAGAAGGAATACCGCCGCATGGTGGGGCCGGGGGGAGGGGGGGGAGGGGGGAATGGGAGAGGGCGCATGGGGGGGGCAGGGTGACTTGGGAAGAGGGAGGGGCTCGGGGGAAGGGGACGAGGCTGGGGAGGATAGGATTCTGGGAAGAGGCTGGGAGAAGAGAGAGTGTGAAGAGGTTTGTGGGAATTACGCGTGAGCTTGTAGTATGGGGTCAACTGACCAAAGCAGTGGCCGACTGACTGTGTTGATTTGTGTGTATGTGCGTGTGCATGTGTATGTGCGTGTGCGTGTGCGTGTGCCTGTGCATGTGCCTGTGCATGTGCATATGACGTGCAGGCAATGCTAGTGCATCCGGACAAGCATGGGGAGGACGAGAAGAATGCCATAGTGGCGTTTCAACGCCTGCAGAGCGCATACGAGGTACACCATGCCATACGAGGTACACCATGCCATACGAGGTACACCATGTGCTCTCTTCACAAATGACTCACTGACCACCAGTGCACGCCACGCCACGCCACGCCACGCCACGCCACGCCACGCCATGTGCTCGTTGGCATCCCCTCCCTTCTCCCTTTGCTTGTGCTTCAACGCGGGTCAGTTGTGCGTGCGTGCGTGCATGCGTGCGTGTGTGTCTGTGTGTGCATGTGTGTGTGTGCGTGTGTGTGTGTGGTGGTGGTGGGGCTGAGGGCAGGTGCTATCAGACGAGGGGAGGCGGCGAGAGTACGAGGGCGAGCTGAGGCGCGAGCAGCTCGTGGAGCTCATCACACGCAGGGCTGCACACATGTGGCAGGTCCGTGCTGACGTGGCAGGTCCGTGCTCACGTGGCTGGCAGGTCCGTGCTGACGTGGCAGGTCAGTGCGATATGGCAGTCCAGTGTAGTTTGGGCTGATGGCGAGTTAGCTTAGCACTGGGGGTGCGGGTAACTATGGAGTGGTAGGCAGACAAAAACTGATAAGAACGAGGGGGGGGGCTGATAGGGTGCCGTGTGTATGGTGGTGGCAGGAGGCGGGGGAAGCAGGTGAGGAAGGCGTGGTGGTAGGAAGCGGAGTTGGCGGATGGATTTTCCTCGTCCCTGCATTTACTCAATTCCGCTGCTTCTCCTCTCCCAAATCCTTTCCCCTCCCCCCGAATTCCCCCTTCCCCCCCCCTTCCCCGCTTACAACCCCATGTGGTGTCCAGACGAGCAGCACAACAACTGGCAGGGCGGCAGCAGGGGGCATGGGCGGGGCAGGAGGAAAAGGTGGAGGGGGGATGGGGCAGGCAGGGGGGACAGCAGGGGGCGAGGAGGAGGAGGGGGGGGCGGCCAGTGGCTTGCACTGAGTGTGGGATGGCGCATGTGTGGCGCCCCGTCTCCCGCCCCTGCAGCCAAGCCCGCTGGTGCCAGGTGGGGTGCGATGGGGTGCATGGGGTACACTGGGGTGGAGTGGGATGCAGTGGCAGGTGGGGGCGTGTGCAGTGGAGGCTGATGGTCATAGGTGGAGTGCAGTTCGAGTTCTTCACTTATTTTTTTCATGGGAGGAAGACTGCGTACCATGCTTTTGTGCAAGTGTAGGCGTCTGTGTGCGTGTATGCCAATGTGCCTGTGTGCCTGTGTGCGTGTGTTCTCGTGTGCGTGTGTGCGTGTGTTCTCGTGTGCGTGTGTGCGTGTGTTCTCGTGTGCGTGTGTGCCTGTGGTCTCGTGTGCCCGCGTGCATGCGTTCATGTGGCAGGAGTGTCAGAGGCACCACCCATGCAAGGAGGGGGATGGCTGGGTGGAGCAACTTCCCCAGCCTGCCTTGTTTGGCATGCTATCTGTTGTGAGTGCACATGCTGCCACACACTCTGCACTCACCAGCCGGCACAGCACTGCCACTGTCACAGCACTGCCACTGTCACAGCACTGCCACTCTCACAGCACTGCCACTCTCACAGCACTGCCACTCTCACAGCACTGCCACTCTCACAGCACTGCCACTCTCACAGCACTGCCACTCTCACAGCACTGCCACTCTCACAGCACTGCCACTCTCACAGCACTGCCACTCTCACAGCACTGCCACTCTCACAGCACTGCCACTCTCACAGCACTGCCACTCTCACAGCACTGCCACTCTTACGCCATGCTTCTTCACTCACCTCCCCTCGTGTCACAATGTCGCCATCGCTTCCCCTGCCCCATACCCCCCTTCCGTGCGAGCAGAAGGGCCCACAGCACTTCTACACGTGTACGGACGGGCAGGTCTACCACATCACTGACTGGGCGCGCTGCCAGGTGGGTTGCGGTGCTGCCAGGTGGGTTGCGGTGCTGCCAGGTGGGTTGCGGTGCTGCCAGGTGGGTTGCTCTGCCAGGTGAGCTTCTGTTGTTTGCTCGATTTTCCTCTGCTCGTTCAGCCACCCGATTTCTGCTGTCCACAAGCAACGCTGGACCCGCAAAGCTGGGGCTTGATCATGGAATGGTGACTTGCAGTCTGGAACACGCTTAGCTCATCTGGAACGTCCCCACAGCCCCCTCAGCCTCTCAGCAGCCAATGGTTTGGGAGTGAGTGATGTGTTTATCAAACATATATGTGATTCTCCTGTGTGCCCCGTGCGCCCTTGCTGCTGGCAGGGCATGCAGTGCCCGCCCAACACGCACAAGCCCTCCTTCCACTTCAAGCTCTCCACTCACCCACCCTCGCCGCCTGCATCCTCCGCCTCGCCCAGGAGCCAGCGCCAGAGGGGCAGAGGGGGCAGGGGCAGCGCCCGGGGCAGGGAAGAGCGCGAGGAGGGGTGGGCAGCAGGCATGGCAGGGGGCAGCAGCGGCGGCGGAGTGCGTGTGGAGCTTAGTGAGGAAGAGATGGTGACCCTCCTCGCCCGTGCTGTGAGCACTGGCGCCTTGAGCCCCACCCAGCTCTCAGATGCCCTCAGAACAGCATCCCAATGTAGTGACAAGGGCCCACCCCCTCGGCGGAAAGGCAGGCGGCAGAAACCTCACTAAGCAGCAATTGGAAACACCACCAATTCAGTTGAAAGCAATTTTATACCAACTCGTGTCCTTCACTCAAGGTAGAAGGTTCTTGTGCGTAATCATGATTACGCTTGCTCCCATCTCAGAGACTCCATTCGCGCTATCCAGGTTATCGCAGTACACTACTTTTCTGTTAGAATGACTAAACATTCGATTTCTGATTTTGGTTATCTGTAAACTTAAACCGAGAAAACAAGTCACGATCTGGCATAGTTTTTAGTGAAACACCGTATTGCCATGTGACATAGTTTTTAGTAATCAGCTGTTTTTCGCTAACTTTGGAAAAACATGTGTACCAGGGCTGATTTTATCAGGGTAATTACCCTGATTTCAGGGTGATTTCAGACTTGTCACATTCTGGTCCCTGTAATTTCAGGTTTAACGTCTTCTGAACACTGATCTTGTCAGAGTAGTACTTTAGCGAACCCTGGAATTTTGTATACACTCAGAGTAGTGTTCTTAAGGACCCTGTCCATACAGAGTATGCGTCCTGTTGACCCTGAATGCAACGTTATCGGGACGAAGCTTCCAGGAATCTTCGTCCTGATAACCCACATGTGCGTAATCATGATTACGCTTGCTCCCATCTCAGAGACTCCATTCGCGCTATCCAGGTTATCGCAGTACACTACTTTTCTGTTAGAATGACTAAACATTCGATTTCTGATTTTGGTTATCTGTAAACTTAAACCGAGAAAACAAGTCACGATCTGGCGGATCGCAAAGTGATTCGGCAGGAGATAAAAGAAAACCATCCGTAGTGAAACACCGTATTGCCATGTGACATAGTTTTTAGTAATCAGCTGTTTTTCGCTAACTTTGGAAAAACATGTGTACATTAGAATAATTGTGAAACTAAACGAGACACTAACATTGAAAAACGTCCCCCTCCCACAACCCCCCCCCACCAAAACCAGGTCGAGTCTCGACACCCCTCCCATGAGCAGTCCGTTCCCCCATCTCCTGCCCCCCGTCTCCCCCTTTTGTGCGGACGACCCGCGGTCACGAAATACCCCCACCCCCACCCATCCCACTCACTTGCTCCCTCCCCCTTTGCACACCCCTCGCTCTCGCCCCTGCGCCCCTAGGAGATCCTCCCTCCCAAGCCACATGCACTCCCTCCAGCCAATCCGCCAATCCAGCTAGATTTCTCGCGTCAAACACGTCACTGCTTTTCTCGCCAAACTAGAAAGAAGTACAAATTCAACCCTGAATTCAATCCGCCAACCCTGACAGCCCAGACTTACGATTTCGTGAACCCTGAACATCGCAAGAAGGCTCAGGCTTGGCGTTTTGCGGAAAATGTGCCTTCAGGGTAAATAATTTTTAGGGGGGATTGAAAACAGGGTACCCATATTTGAATCGTCAGCCCTGGTTCTATACAAAGGTTTTGCATGGTGGATGTGTGTAGTGTTTTTGAATCAATCTGCAAGCAAAACTATGTTTTAGCTGTGCTTGTCTGGTCAACCGCAAACAACCTGCACATGTGCAGGAAATGCAGAGGGCGCTCTTCATTCGCGGGCGCCGATGACCGATGATGCTCGCAACCCTCCAACGCCCTTGCTGGGTTAGCAATAGGCCCAGACAAGCGCAGCCACGTGACCCGGCGGAAGAAGAACGCTCGGAACGAACGCTTCCAGCCCCAAAACGCGGAAGGATCCGCACATGTGCAAGAAGTGCAGTGCGCATTCTTCATTCGCGATCGCCGATTACCAATGACGCCTTTGCTCGCTTGGCAATAGGCCCAGACAAACGTGACCACGTGACCCGACGGAAGAAAAACGCTCGTAACGAACGCTTCCAGCCCCAAAACGCGGAAGGATCTGTCAGTAGAGCTACACTGTGAGATCCCCGATCGATCCTAGGGGGGGTTACAGGCGCGTTTGCCTGGGGGGTTATGGGCGCACTGACCCGCTACTGAAACAAGCCCTTTTATCCCAATGGTCTAGTGGTTGGGATTCTGACATGGTATCAGAGCGGTCTCGGGTTCGAATCCCGGTGTATGCACATGTTGGACGTTGCCACTGTGCTCAGTCCTGGGCCTCCCAGTGTGGGGGGGTGTCAGTAGAGATACACTGTGAGATCCCCGATCGATCCTAGGGGGGTTACATGCGCGTTTGCCTGGGGGGTTATGGGCGCACTGACCCGCTGCTGAAACAAGCCCTTTTATCCCAATGGTCTAGTGGTTGGGATTCTGACAGGATCCACACATTCGCAGGAAGTGCAGCGGGCACTCTTCATTCGCAAGCGCCGATGACCGATGATGCTTGCAATCCTTCCACAACCTTGCTTGCTGGGCAATAGGCCCAGAAAAGCGCAGCCATGTGACCCGGTGGAAGAAAAACGCTCAGAACGAGCGCTTCCAGGCCCAAAACTCGAGACGATCCGCACATGTGCAGAAAATGCAGCGGGCACTCTTCATTCGCGAGGGCCGATGACCGATGATGCTCGCAACCCTCCCACGCCCTTGCTGGCTTGGCAATAGGCCCAAACAAGCAAAAACACGTGACATGGCGGAAGAAAAACGCTCGGAACGAACGCTTCCAGCCCCAAAACGAGGAGGGATCAGCACATGCGCAGGAAGTGCAACGGGGACTCTTCATTCGCAAACGCGTGACCGATGATGCTCGCAACCCTTCCACGCCCTTGCTGGCTTGGTAATACGCCCAAAAAAGCGCAGCCACGTGACCCGGAGGAAGAAAAAACGCTCGGAACGAGCGCTTCCAGCACCCAAACGCGAAATGATCCGCACATGTGCAGAAAGTGCAGCGGGCACTCTTCATTCGCAAGCGCCGATGACCGATGATGCTCGCAACCCTCCCACCCCTTGCTGGCTTGGCAATAGGCCCAGATAAGGGCAACCACGTGACCCGGCGGAAGAAAAATGCTCGGAACGAGTGTTTCCAGCCCCAACTCGGAAGGATCCGCACGTCTGTAGGAAGTGCAACGGACGCTCTTCATTCGTGAGCGCCGATGGCTGATGATGCTCGCAACCCTCCCACACCCTTGCTGGCTTGACAATAGGCCTAGAGAAGCGCTGTCACGTGACCCGGCGGAAAAACGCTCGGAACGAGCGCTTCCAGCCCCAAAACGAGGAAGAATCCGCACCTATGCAGGAAGTGTTGTCAGTAGAGCTACACTGTGAGATCCCCGATCGATCCTAGGGGGGGTTACAGGCGTGTTTGCCTGGGGGGTTATGGGCGCACTGACCCGCTACTGAAACAAGCCCTTTTATCCCAATGGTCTAGTGACTGGGATTCTGACATGGTGTCAGAATGGTCTCGGGTTCGAATCCCGGTGTATGCACATGTAGGCCGTTGCCGCTGTGCTCAGTCCTGGGCCTCCCAGTGTGGGGGTGTGTTAGTAGATCTGCACTGTGGATGCCCGATTGATCCTACGGGGGGTTACAGGCGCGTTTGCCTGGGGGGTTATGGGCGCACTCTGACCCGCTACTTAACAAGCCCTTTTATCCCAATGGTCTAGTGGTTGGGATTCTGACAAGTGTAGCGGGCGCTTTTCATTTGCGGGCGCCGATGACCGATGATGCTCGCAACCCTCCCACGCCCATTCTGGCTTGACAATAGCCCGGACAAGCGCAGCCACGTGACCCGGCAGAAGAAAAACGCTCGGAACGAGCGCGTCTAGCCCCAAAACGCGGAAGGATCCGCACATGGGCAGGAAGTGCAGCGGGCGCTCTTCATTCGCGAGCGCCGATGACCGATGATGCTCGCAACCCTCCCACACCCTTGCTGGCTTGGCAATAGCCCGGACAAGCGCAGCCACGTAACCCGGCGGAAGAAAAACGCTCGGAACGAGCGCGTCCAGCCCCAAAACCCGGAAGGATCCGCACATGTGCAGGAAGTGCAGCGGGCGCTCTTCATTCGCGAGCGCCGATGACCGATGATGCTCGTAACCATCCCATGCCCTTGCTGGCTTGGCAAAAGGCCCAGACAAGTGCATCCACGTGACCCGGGTTTAGGGTTTAGGGTGTCAGAATCCCAACCACTAGACCATTGGGATAAAAGGACTTGTTAAGTAGCGGGTCAGTGCGCCCATAACCCCCCCAGGCCAACATGCCTGTAACCCTTCCCTAGGATCGATCGGGGATCACCAGTGGACCTCTGACACCCCCCCGCACTGGGATGCCCGAAGTGCATACACCGGGATTCGAACCCGAGACCGCTCTGATACCATGCCAGAATCCCAACCACTAGACCATTGGGATAAAAGGGCTTGTTAAGTAGCGGGTTAGTGCGCCCATAACCCCCCAGGCCAACATGCCTGTAACACTTCCCTAGGATCGATCGGGGATCACCAGTGGACCTCTGACACAGGGTTTAGGGTTTAGGGTTTAGGGTTTTAGGGTTGAGGGTTTAGGGTTTAGGGTTTAGGGTTTAGGGTGTGGAAAGGCTAGACAAAGGTGGGCTTAGGAGCCATGGTTTAGGAGGTCAAGTGAATTGAGTATCGAGAATGTTGAAAAGTCGAGAGTGAAGAAGAAGGGTTCAATAAAGAGCAAAGGTACAAAGATATAGGCAAGAACTAGGGTAATGAGGTGCACCACCAAACGGGAAACATAACTACACTAACACTACAGACAATTATATAAATATGAATAACATATTTCGACATAGGGTTGGGGTTTAGGGTTTAGGGTTTAGGGTTTAGGGTTTAGAGTTTAGGGTTTAGGGTTTAAGGTTTAGGGTTTAGGGTTTGATTATAAAAAATAAGCCTAGTTGCAGCTGCTAGTAAATCCCAGTTTAAGCTGGGGCGGCTTTACTACTTAGGAGGCTCCTCAGGTAGCGTGAGAGGAGGAGGAGATGAGTGGCGTGTAGGTTGGGAAGGTGTGGGTCGAATTGAAATTGGGTGGGGGTGCTGAAAAAATTGAAACCGGGGCGCGCATTTGACGCGTGCACCTCGGGAGTCAAGAATCGAGAAATGGGGGGGGGGGGGGGGGGAATTCGAGTTGACTT